TCTGTTGCTAGCCATGAGTAATATTTTTTATTTTAAACGTGGATACTTGAGTCAAGATTTAATTTTGCCTTTCTCACTTCTCTTCTTAGAGATTTTTCTCATTCTTTTCTGAAAGATTTCTGTGAGCTCACCTTCAACAGTGATCTCTTTGGCAATTTGAATTTGACCTTCTGGATTATATAAATCAGGACATTTTTCAGCAGAATTTAATGTGCTTTTCTTCAACCACAGAGTAGACAGTAGGTGATCTGTCTACTTGGCATCAGGAATTTTGGAACACATGTCAGTGTTAAGTGCTGCAATTCAGGAAGAGAATTTGGTGAATTTACACTAGATTACAGGTCATAATGTTCTGCCTTGCAGAATTTATTCTTGCATGTTTCCAGCAAGATACGATTCCACCATGATGAAATAGATGAAAATAATTTTATTTCTCTTTTTCTTCCAAGAAAAAATATGCAAGTGTGCACTTGGCATCAGTGTGGCAACTTGAGCTGAGACCATGCCACAATTTACCAAATCATGGCTTCGTTTTTGTTGTGGGCAGATATTGCCATCACAATGGAGAGCAGAGCTCAGAATGAGCCACAGGTGCAAATAACAGATGAAATTTCACAGAACTACTCCAGTTTGATTGAATGGGAAAACTGGAGGAAGAAATGTAAATCACTAATTCCCCATCTCTCTTAGCCACACTTTGTTACAGAGTTGGTTTTTTTCCATTAGAATCAGTCAAATTTTTGTAATCTAAACTTCAGAAAAATCAGGGTGCTAAAAAAAACAGGACAAACCAAACAATTACTGCTGGACGTAGAATGTTCTGCAGTATTATTGGCTTTTACATTTTTGTGTAAGGCCTGTGTTCTGCAGTGAGAGGCGTGGGTCCTTTAGCATCTCAGTAAGGAACACACTTCAAGTTTAATTTTAAAATAAAAAGAATATGTTATTTATTATAATGAAGACTATCAGAAAACAAAAGCGCAGATAACCCCATATCCCTTTAGGTGTTGTGACTCCTGAGGGTGTAGCACACACAGAGCACTCCATGCAGACCTTGCCCATAGCAGAGAATTTCCTTTTTCAGTCACCTGAACTGTTTTATAAAACATTTTCTCACAGGGAAACAATTCTGTTCATTTCTACAGTCAAGGTTTAACATCATGAATCATGAATGTTCATGTTGGTCTGGAAAAAATTCTGATGTTATGTCATGTCGTGTGCTAAATGATTTAAAGAAGATTTGATGTCAAATTGTGTGTTTGTCTGTAGGAGCTAGTGAAACAGAAGATAAAGCGTCAGCTGACCAAGCAGCAAAAGTCTGCTCTGAAGCAACGGCTGCAAAAAGGGGAGGCAAATATTTACACCAAACAACGTCGAGAAAATATGCACAACATTAAGTCAAGCTTGGATGCAGCCAGTTTCTGGGGATAAATTATTAAAGCTCCCGTGGAACATAAACAATGTATATAGCTGAAAGGGTGATGCTAATGTACCAATAATCCTTTTCTGTGAAGGAGCAATCTCTGCTATGCAAACCAGATGTTTTTCTTGGAGTTAATAAATCTCATTCTCATTCATGTGACTTTGACTGGGAGGTTGTGTTTTGTGTTTCTAGTCAAAACTGTTGACTCTAATTTACGTTATATCAGTAGTATTGATTAAGATTATGACAGGAATTTCTAGCAGTGTTTTCTCATAACTGAATTGTGATGTTCGTTGTGCACAGACACAAAAAGCATTTTTCTCAGTTTTAGATGCACAATTATTTGCATAAATGTAAAATGGAAATAGTTTTTGCTAACTTAGTCAGCTGTGACATTACTTTCTTTTAACTTTTCTTCAAAAACTTGGGGACTTAGATGTAACAAATCTTGGTTTCATTAGCTGAAATAATAATTTAGTGCAGGATGTGACATCTGATGGAGCTTAGAAACATATATAGGAGAAATCATTAAAACATTAATTTGCAAAAGCACTTTTTTGAAGTGCTGTTCTACGAAACAATACTGGAGCACAAAAAAACTACTGCCATTTAAGTACTTTATTCTGAAGGTAAAAGTAGCTTACAGTAGGTGTAAGAAGTTAATCATAAGTAATCACAAAATATAACTGACAAAGATCTGTAAAAGCAGTATTCAGCAGTCATTTAGAAATCTTTCAGTATTTTGCTTGCAAGAGTATTCATCCCTCATAAGTCACTGTCATTTGCACTAAGTGCTACCTCAGCATGATTCCACTAGTATTTCTGTTTTAATCGTCAGTACTGGCAGAGCTGACCAACAGGAGTTTAGTCTCATTTGTGTATCCATTCTGAGCAGTTTTGGAGTTGTTTAGTTGATGCTTTGTTGTTTTTTGGTTATTTTTGTTTGTTTGTTTTAATATTCAGTGTCTTCACTGGACAGTAGTCAGTGGGCAGGAAACCCCAAAACATTAAAAAACCCCAGAATACAACCCCAACAGACTCATTCTTCAGTGCTCATTCTTACACCAAGAGCCCTTCAGAAGCACCAGAGCATTTATCTTCCCAGTCACCATAAGCAGAGACTGCTCCTGTTCTGCAAGAAGTAGCAGGAAGTGATGTATCCTGGCAGTTTGGGGCGTTAAATGTGAAATCCCTTAGCAGATACAGACTGCTAACTTAGCAGCCACCAGGCTGACTGCTGGTTAAAGCTCCACAGCATTTTCTCAGTCAGCTGGACTAGGTTTGGATGAATGGAATGGGGAAAAAGGCACAGACATAGCATTTTTATCATCTGCATCCAGACACTGGTAAAATACGTAAAAATTTGAAGGCAAAGTAGGTCCTCAAATTGCACTGTAATGAACAACACTTACATTTTCTTCAGTGATGCACTGCTCCAGACCAATCCGTGACCATGCATATTCCCATAAACACCTCTGATGATTGTAACTCTTTCACACAGTAGTGATTTCTAGTAGCTCCCCAAGAAGAAACACAAGATTTAAGGCTTTAATTTAGGAAACCATGATCAACTGCAAAAGTTCCATTTAAGCAACAAGGTAAAAAGTAAAACCTATTTTACCCAGTAGACTTTGTGCGGGAGGAGTCAAACAGCCAGTGAAAAAAATAGCAGATTTAAGGAGCAAAAACTGTAGGAAGTGACACATCTCCGAACTTGCTTCCACTTTGTGCAAGTAACTGCAAAACCAGCACCCAAAAAACCCCTCAGTAAAATGCCAATGTCCAGTGCAAAGCAGTTTTAGTTAATAAAAGTCATTCCCCAACATCGAAGTGCACGTCAGATGTCATGCATCTCTCTCACCTACCTGGTAGGTTTGCACAGAAGCACCAGTACCAGCCTACATCAAAAAGAGAACAATTTCAGTATTAACACCTTGGAGGCAAAAGCCACAGTCTGTGGAACATGAAGGACTTCTGACACTTGTGAGGTGCTGTCCTCTGAATTATGTATTTATCTCCTTTGGTTTCATGTCTCTTACCACAGGAGCTACAGCACATGCACTTAGACAGTGAAGTAAAAATTTAGGAAAGGAATTCCTAAATTCCTTTTGCTTTCCAAGTTATCCACAGATGAGCTGGGCTCAAAGGTGTTACATCTTCCCCTCCTTTGTCTGAGTCCCTGAGAGACCTTCACAGATAATATTTTAGAGTGAACAGTCCAAACTCTAAGTTTGCATTAGAACTCTCATGAGCACAGAGGCACAAAAAGTGCAGCATTAAAAGTGGGCACATTCCCAATTTCAGAGGCATAAACAGCATGGTTTACTGGTCACTGTGACAGGATAAGGGTCATGAACTATTGTTGGTAAATACACTGATAAGAGAAAGGACAAGCAGTAGAATCCCCTTAGAATAAAGGTTACCTGACAGGCACCCCTGTGGAGAAGCAGCGGGGTACAGCCCATCAGCCATCCCAGGATACAAAATGCAAATCTCCTCTTGTATTTAATAGTTTTATTTATGTTATGTTGTATTTATAGTTTTCTTTGGGGGTGGGGCAAAGACAAAGTTCCAGCTGATGTCATTTCATGATTACACTGTCATTTCATGAATCACTCACACATGAGTGACTTTAGTTCACACATGTGTGAAGTATGTACAGGTTTTACCTTATTGGCATTTGCAGGTGTGAAAACTTATATGTATTTTCAAGCCAACGAAACAAAATTCAGCTCTTGGTGACTGGTTGGGCCCTTCCTTGGCTTAGTTCCCATTGGCTGCATTGCTTTAAACAGAGCACGGCCACATCACCTCCATGACACTCCATCCTTAGTTTCCTGCCTCTCAGGGCAGCACACCAAGCTCCCTCAATGTCCCTGCTCCTGGGGCTGCAGTTTGTTTCTGGTGAACTACAGCCACCACTGACACTTCTCTTTGCTGAGACTTCTCTTTTAGTATTTCTCCACAATTAATGAAATACAAGGTTAGCTTATGGCACCTGTACTCTAAAGCTACACAAAACATATGTGAAGACTGCACCACAAGCAGAAAAGCATCTTCTGTTTGCAGTGGTCAGAGAATACACCTCCACAAGATATATACAAGCAAAGTGTCTTACCTGGAGAATTCTCTAAGAATGCACACTATTGGACAAAAACATAATCCAAAAAGAGAAGAGAACTAATTCTCTTCTGACCAGAAAGCACAGAACAGCCTACAAAAATACCAGGAGGTACCAAAATTTCACAGCAGTTTGTAAGAGAACAGTCTCCATCCAAAAGAATCACATTAGCAACACACTGGAGGTCTTTAAAAGCCTCTGGACACAACCCTGAGTAATGTGGTACTATGGGACTCTGCTTAAAGCAAGGAGGTTGGACTTTCTGAAATCCAGTGATCCCTTCCAACCTCACCCATTCTGTGACTGTGTGATAATAAACAGCAGTCAAAATCCCGTCTCACAGTTGCCGTTACATTATTTTCCTGTTGGCTTTCAAACCATGTTGTTAACGTTGCTGTCATGCTCACAACCTGATGAGAAAGAGGGGGGCTGACACAGCAAAACACAAAGAGCAACTCTTTTAGGCATCTCCTCAGTTTATTTGCATTACTTTGCATAATCTCAAGCACTTCGGGATGCTGAGATGTTTATTCACTGTGCAAATGATTAAGTTCTTTCTATATTTCCATGATAAAGCTATTCCAAACTATCCTAAAAAGGGATGACTAAGCTACACTTGGTACTCAGTAGGACTCACTGATTCTAGGGTCTTCAGCTGAGCAAGAAGGTCAAAGATCTCACAGAGGTTTTTTAACATCACTACACCTTTAGCTGCACCAGCAAGTCTGGGCTTTTCCAAACAGCACAGGAATTATTTGGTTTAAGCTGCAACTTACTTTACAAGGTTTCTCATAATGTTTATAGAAGACCCTCTGTACCCTGAACCAAAATGGTTCCAGTGGTTCATGTAGTGGAACAGCTGATAAAGCTTCAGGCGTTTCTCAAACCCTACGGCTCTGGGGATTTTACTGTGATAAGCAGAATAAAAAAAACTGCTGAAGCCACCAAACATCCCAGCTATTGCAAGATCATACTCTGAATGGCCGTAGAAAGAAGCTGGATCAAAGATAATCGGACCACAATCATCCTCAGCGACATTTCCTCCCCAGAGATCCCCATGCAGGAGAGAAGGAACGATTTCTAGACCACAGAACAAACTGGGTATCTTCAGCTGCAGGAGGAGAAAAGCAAGACATGTAAATTACTACAATCGTTCACCTCAAAATGTAGAGGTTTATCTGCATACTTTAAACTTTTTAGAAGTCAATTAAATAAACCTGTAACTTCAAACAAGAAGTTTGAAGATCCTTCAAACAGGATCAAGTTACAGAGATGCTGAGCAAATCCAGAGGATTCCTGTTGCTCATAAAAGCCAGCAGAAGAACAGTCACCCAAATCTCTTTTAGGAAGACAGTAAAGAATTTAAAATTGCATTTGGTGCTGTAATACTGATCAGATTCAGTAACTACAACCACCACCAGTTCATCATTAGAGGGTTCAGGCATCTCTCAGCAACCTTGAGAAAAGTACTCAAAGAGTCAAAACTGCAGTCACTTAACCAGATGCAAACAGTAAATCAACAATGTGCATAACAGTGCTGCTTATGTACGTTTCTAACCATGGAAGTGTTCCAGGGAGTGGGAAATATGATCTCCATCTGTAAGATTTCCCAAACAGTAAAGCAAAGTGCTATCTGGCACTTTGGAATTCACCCTGGAATGTTAGCATAGGGTGCTGTGGCAAAAGCCATTACACCTTACAATAAAGAACATTTTAATCCTTAAAAACTAGAATCTCTTACCAACAGAACCTGGTGCAAACCAACAAACAGGAACCTTGTTTTAAGAAAATAAAATCTAGATAACTGATACCCAGCTGTCACTATAATGAGAACTGAGAGAATTGCCTGTACCTGAAGCTGTGCCCAAAGTTCCCTTGCTTCCCCGTCTCCTAAGTTCCTTTCGATCAGGTCCATCTGGGGCTGGATCCTTTGTCTGGCAAAGAAACTCACCCAGTCACTCTGCCAGTTGTTCACCTGAAGGAACATCACTGCAGATGTCAGCTCTACACCACACAAAAGGCAGATTTTCTTCTTTTTCAAATAAACCTTTTGAGGATCTCACAGCCTTTGTGCTGGCTTCATTTAATTTAATGTTAATTTAATGTTATCTTAAAACATTAAATTAGGGGAATAAATAATTTTCTCTCAGTGATTAAAACCCAAAAAATTGAAGAGCCATCAGTGTCCAGTGCAGTTTTAAGTGCTGTCCAAAGCACTACTTTTCTTAGCAGGACAAACCATGCTTTTTCTTATTCATGGGTGCACAAAAATTCATTTATTTATATTATGGTAATTTTGACCCTTTGTGTCACCCAAGGGGAAATGAGGTAAACTTAAAATCCTATCAGTCTGATGAAGTACAACCTACCTGTGGAAGATAACCACAGCAGGTAACTGTATGAAAGCCAAACTGATCCACAAACTGAACTTCCATTTGCCCTTGTCCTTTACCTTTCAAAACAAAGACAAAAATTCAATACCAATGATAAAATACTGAGCATCCACAATGCAAATGAACCTTAAAAATTATATACGGGTACAATGCTGCTCCCACTGAGAATAAAACAAATTGCACTTTAATTTTCTTTTTGTTACAATGGCTGCTGCTACTGGTTTTAAAATCTAAAGCTCAGTACAAAGCAGCCATATTATACTCTTTATTTTTGTATTTTGAGGTATTGTACCTCTTCTGACACCATGTCCTTGTGAGGACATGTGAACCCTAGAGACTGTGGTTCAGGCTCCCAAACTGGATACATGTTTTGCTCACAGAGATCCAAAGAGGGCAAACAAAAGCAAAAAGAGCCTCCCGCCTTAATGTTTCATCCCAGCCTATTCTCATACTATCTTTAGTGGAAGAAGATGAACCTGTCCCGAAGTAGCAAAAGCTATTTTAATTATTTTGTGAATTATTACTCATTAGGTTAAATTTGAAAACAGCTGTGTAATGTACCAACTGTGCTCTCTTCTTTCTTCATCTTCTCTCTAAGTTGCTGGTTATGAAGATGAAGATCAGCCAGCTGAGTTCCAAGCAGTGCTGAATGTCTAAGAAACAAAAATAATGTTAACAACTCTGACACATGAACAAATCTAGACCTTGATATTCCAGGAGTTACTTGAAAATGTTTATGAAGTAAGTAGAAGTTCTCTGTGTCTAACAAAATAACTTCCCAAAGTATTCCAGTATTATAAACACTTTGTCTTCCTATCAAGACTGCATATTAATATAGACAAAATGTACTTACTGGGTTGTTTCTAACAACACTATTGAAAGTGAAATCATAAATTTACCAACAATGATAAACTATCAGTTCTAATTCCTGTGTGGTATCACTTCCATAAGCATTTTCAGTAAGTGTAAGAAAGCATGCCCTTAATGTGGAACATGTTATGCCTTTTCTTCCCCCTCTGGCAAACTGTCCTTGGAAAATAGAAAGCAACAGAAAACAAGCCTGATCCTCTTCTTTCTATCATTGTCTCTGGCTGCTCTTCTCCAAAAGGCCTCAAAGGTGGGTGTCGGGTAGGCCTACTTTATTATTTATTTTTTATAAAAGCTGATCCTATGCAAAGTTCAGAAAAGCCTTGTAGTAATTGCAAACAACCCTTACAGCCAGCTGTCCCCCGTGTTAACAAAATTATGTTCCTTTTTCTGATTTATTTCTAAAGGCACTGTCGTTTAAAGCAAATTTGGTTCTTCATTTTGTTCCCGTTAACACAGATTGTAGCTATCCCCCAGAATTTGCACTCCAAAGGTACCACTTGAAATCCAAACCAGCAAGATCTCTGCCCTTTCTCTTGGGACTCACTGAGAGCTCCTCATGAACCAGAAACCCTAGCAATGAGCAGCATGAGGGACAAGATTTTAAACCAGCTACAGAAGTCCTGAAAGTGAGATAAGAATTTGGTCCATGATCACCTCCTCAGTGGAATCAAATGGGATTCATCATAGTAAGTGCTAGTCACAGAGAAGGGTCAAAAATTTGAAACAAATCAAAATGAAGATTAAGAGTTGAAAAAATACTGAAATCAAGATTAATTCATTTGGGAAAGTGCCTCTGCACACTCATGGCAAGCATTAGAGCACCAGTTCTTATATCAAAGGCAAGTACACAAAACAGGTGATCAGGTTGGTAATTTTCCTTACCATAGAAAGGAACCGTATTGTAAAAACCACTAATTACCTAAACAAACCAAGCCAAAAGTAACCAAAACCCAGACTGAATTCTTGCTATATTATCAGTTTGCTAGGTGAGGCATTATGAAGTATTTTATACAGTTCTCTGCTATGTAACTTCCCATATGTTCTTTGACTTTCTTTATAAAAAATTTAAACAAGTTTCTCCTATGAAAACAAGCGATTTAATTGCCATAATAGCCAAAATTTCTGGTCAAAGGAGGCAAAAATAACTGTTTTACCTGTTTAAACTCTTCATTTCCAAATGTTCCATCACCAGCACAGTATTGTCCCCTGGCAGTTCTACAACCTTGATGGGTTTAGGCACTCTTATTGTCTGCGTTTTCAGGATGGCTTCCAAACTTGCCACTTCTCCCAGAAACATTCTTCTGGCCTGCCAGATATTAAAGAAAAGCATTAGCCTCTGTAAGCATCAGTCACAGGTAAAATAAAATAAAATATAAAATAAGTAAGTTTGGAGCAAATATTTACTGATGCACAAGATACAGACAGAACTGTACCATAACGCTTGATAATTTTACAGCTGCAGAAATGGCACTTTGTAAAACAAAGTGAAAAGCAACTTAGGTTCTAGCATTCTCCATAACTTAGAAACTCTGTTTACAGTTGAAGGAGTGCAAACTGCATGCACACGGAATGCGTGCAATATTCTATTAATACAGCAAATGTCTAGGAAGCCATGGACTATATACACCATCAGTTGGGAGGCCAGAAGAATGGTGCTGACATTCACAGACATCATGACCTTCCAGACCAAGTAATAGAGTCAAGCTTCAAAAACAGCTCCATTTGCAGCCACAGAAGCACAGAATCACACAACTGTTAAGGCTGAAAAAGATCTGTACGATCTGTAAGACCTGTAAGATGTGAGTCCAACCACTAACCCAGCGCTGCCTGGGCACTCTGTGCAAGTGCATTACCACCCTGCGTGTGAAGAAATTTTCTCTAACATCCAGTCTAAACCTCCTCTGAGACAACTTGAGGTTGCTTCTTCTCCCTTGTTCCCTGGCAGCAGAGTCTGACCCTCCTGTCAGGGAGTTGTGCAGAGCCACAAGGGCCTCCCTGAGCGTCCTCTTCTCCAGGCTGGGCCCCTTTCCCATCTCCCTTAGTCCCTCCTGGTGCTCCAGACCCTTCCTTCCCTTCTCTTGACATCCGCCAGTCCTTCCATGCCTTTCTTGTCATGAGATGCCCAAAACTGTCCCTAGGATTCGAGGTTTGGCCACAGCAGCGCCCAGCACAGGGGACAGCCGTGGTCACTGCCCCGCTCCTGCTGCCACACCAGGACGGGCACAACGCAGGGATGCTGCTCCCAAACCCTGCCACCCCCGATCCCTACCCCGCCACACCTCCCCCTCGCAGTTGCTCTTCACGAACACCCGGCCGCGGTCCGTGTCGTAGCTCCGGCCCTGGCTGATGCAGCCGCCGCCCGAGTGCCCGGTCGGCCGCAGCACGGCCGTGCCCAGCGCTCGCCTCAGCGCGTCCTCCATGGCGGCCGCTGTGAGGAGAGCCACGGGCGAGAAAATAATTAAAGGCACGGGCAAAGGCGGGGCGATAAGGGGCGGGCAAGGGGCAGCTGGGGCGGAGAAAGGGCGTTTGAAGGGGGGCAAAGGGAGTTTGAAGGGGAGGAGAGGGCGGCTTAAGTCGGCAAAAGGGCGGCCGAAGCGGCTGGGGCAGCTGCAGGAGCCGGGCAGATGAGGCGGGCGCTGCTGTCGATGGGCTCTCTCGCTCCTCACATGCCAATTTGCTCGCGTGTTCAGTTTTGTTCTTGTGGTCGTGACAGAATCAGTGACAGAATCGCAGAACGTTCTGAGTTGGAAGGGACCCACAAGGCTCGTCGAGTCCAACTCCTGCCCCTACACAGGACAGTCCAGCAATCACAGCCTGTGCCTGAGAGCGTTGTTCAAATGTGCACCTTGAGCTCTTCTCAGGTTGGTGCAGCGACCACTTTCCCGGGGAGTCTGTTGCAGTGCATGAACACCCTCTGGGGGAAGAAGCTTTTCCTAAAATCCAACCTAAACCTGCCCTGACACAACTTCAGGTCCCATTGGGTCCTGCCACTGGGCACTGCAGAGCAGAGATTTGTGTCTTTCCCTTCCCTTACAAAGCTGAATACAGCAGTGAAATCTCTCCTCAGACTAATTGGGGAAGAGCTCTGAGATCATCAAGTCCAGCCTGTGACCAGACACCACCTTGTCAACCAGATCATGGCATTGGTGTGCCATGTTCCTTAAAGACTGGCAGGGACAGTGATTCCAGCACCTCCCCAGGCAACCCCTTCCAGTGTCTAACCATCCTTTCTGTGAAGAGTTTCTTCCAACCTAAACCTCTACTGGAGCAGAGGGTCTTCTCATCCTGTCTCTGTTCCCTGGGAGCAGAGCCTGATCCCCGCCTGACTGTCCCCTCCTGTCAGGGAGTTGTGCAGAGCCACAAGGTCCCCCCTGAGCCTCCTTTTCTCCAGGCTGAGACCCTTTCCAGCTCCCTCAGCTATTCCTCATCGAACCTGTGCTCCTGCCTTTCACCCTTCTGTTGAGTTGGTGGGTTTCTTGGGTTGGTGGCCACGAGTCGGTGATCACAATTTCCTCTGCTACAATTACACTTTACCCAGTTTGATGAGTTTGCCTTATTTTGTTCCTCATAATCTGGCCTTGTCTTGGTCGTTTGGCTAAGTGTCCTTGATTTGAAAATGTCATCATCCTGTTATGTCTGTTTTTACTAGTTTTATTATGTCAATTTACTTGCTTTTATTCTTTTTCTGTACCTCCTGCAGTTGCTGAGACATGTTAAACATAATTTATCTGTCTGAAAGCCTGATGGTTCATCACTATCAATTACTTGATTTCTGCCTTGAGATTTAGTTTAATTAGTCTGATCCCAAGATGGAACTCCTCTGCTGTGGAGACAAGCAGTGAGAACTGAGAGCCTCAGCCTGGAGAAGGGAAGGCCCTGGGGAGACCTTCAAGCCCCTTCCAGAGCCTAGAGGGACTCCAGGAGAGCTGGAGAGAGACTTTAGACAAAGTCTGGAGTGAGTGGAAGAAATTCTTCCCTGTGATGGTGGTGAGGCCCTGGCATAGGGTGCCCAGAGAAACTGTGGCTGCCTCATCCCTGGGAGTGTCCAAGGCCAGGTTGGACAGGGCTTAAAGCAACGTGGGACAGTGGAAGCTGTCCCTGCCCATGGCAGGAGGATGGAACAAGGTGGTGTTTAATCCCTTTTCAACCCAAACTATTCATGGATTCAATGAAAGCAAAGATACACAGAGTGCTCTGCCTGGCACTGCCATTCCTTGTGTCTCCTCCGAAAGCTTTCAGGAGTTGCAAGTCTTCATTTTGTGTTTTGAGGAACAAGTCCCACTCCATCCTTCCATGGTGGTATTGGTGAGGATGGAGGAGCAAGAGTGGGAAAAAAGTGATGGGAGCAGTAATTAGCAATTATAATGTATACCTGAGAAAAGAAAGAAACCATCAATAAAAGGGGTTTTTTTAAGTGCTACAATTCATGCTTTATGCAAATGAACTAACCTTCTGTTTATACTCATTTACCTACTATTTTATTTTTCACAGTATTGCTGACACTGACAGAAGTTTTAGATTTTCTAAGTTTATACTTTCAAAATACGACGTAAGATATTCAAGGCCTATTTTGATTTTTCAGACAAGTGATGCAGTTAAGATGCATCCCATCATCGAGCAGAACTGCATGCCAGAAAGACCAAAGCTAGGTTTCCTGCTGATGATCATGTCTTGAGCTGGGGTCAGTTCTCTGCACTGGCTTGATGGTGGAGAAAAAAGAGCAGAAAGATGCTGTTTGATCACTGCTAAATACCAGCCTGAGGATTTACAGAAGCCAGGAACCAGGATTACTGAGATCCCATGTGGAACTCTCCTGTCACAGCACTTGCAGCATCCAAGTGGTGGTGGAGTGGATTCCTCCAGGAATGGCACTGGATTTCCTGTATCTTCTGAAGCAGCACACTTACTCAAATGGACCAGAACAAGTCCCCTCCTGTTCACCAGCACATCTTTCCCATTTCTCTGCCTACATATGACAGCAGCACTCTTGCACACTTTGTCAGCCACCCCAGCCAGTGTGTCACTACAGGCAGTGCTTGTGTGTCTGTGTGAGCAGGTCAGGTCTACGGGACAGGCAGTAACACCATCACGAGCTCTGCTTCAGTGGGCTCTCAGCATTGTCTGCTCCAGGTACACAAGAGAGATGCAGATTCACGGTGCTGTTTTGCAGCACAAAGGCTGTCGTGAACACTCACAAGGCTTCAGAAACTCTCAGTGCAAGTGGAGCAAAACCTTCCACTAAAGCCCTGTCAGGTCTGATGATGAACTGCAGTGCTGGGCCTCTGCAGCAGCACTGACCTCCAGCTGCAGCATAGACACAGCCTGTAACCCAGAGGGTGCAGGCGAGTACAGGTCAGTCCTATGGAAGGGGAGTGAAGAAAATAATCCATCAGCTGTGCTGGGTCTCAGTGACAAAGGGACAGGTCTATGAATGGTCACACACATTGAGGCAGCTGTGGCAGCACGCTGTGTCCCAAGTGGCAGCTCATGTCAGACCTAGGCACGTGGCTTAGAACTGCCAGAATGGGTCCCAGCATGGAGAATTCCACAGCATTTTAAGCTGAGCAGCCACACTGTTTATCAGATGGGAACGCCCCAGTCCGTGGTGCTGCAGCAGAACCCCAGAGAGTTCAACAGCCACTGCATAAGCCCTGGGCACTTGGCATGGGTGTGCTCAGGACACAGGGCAGGCACACCCCGGGGAATGCAGCTGTGCATGAAAGGGCTTCTCTTCCTTTGCCACTCAAGTGTAGAGCTGAGAACAACTGCAATAACCCAAGGGCCAGCATAGTCTCAAGCTGGAAACACAAATATTCCATCCATGCACCAAAAAGGGATGCACTTTGCCTGCCTTTATACTTCCAGAAATGCAGTGTCTTTGAACCTACAAATTAAGGAAAAGAAATCACACTGATCCCAGTTATGTGAATGTCTGTTTTCTGGAAGGAAAACATTTTCTGGTCCACTGTGACACATGATAGGGTGATTTGATACTGGAGATGAAGTTTGCTAGCTCTACTACAAAAATCTTGTCAAAACCCCCAAAATCAGATTTGAAAACATAATGCTTCCCTTTTCACTTGGCAGCATTTTGAAATGACAAATGCTATGAGACACTCAAAGATTTGGCTCAGTTTTGATCAAATAATCTGTGCTTTCACAGGATAAAGTAAGCAACTATTTACATTAAAATAATCCAAAAAGCTACATGAAATGAAAGGTTCTGCTATTTGGTAATCACAGTAGTTTATTGTTGTAGACATGTCATCTTTGTTATATTTCTGGTCCACAGGGCAAAAATTTTTCAATGCATATTTCATGCAAGCAATACTTTCTTTTCCTCACTCTTTTCAAAAAATAGTTGATAGTAGCATATAAATAGATAATAACATGTTTAAGTTATAATCTTGCTGAAAACCTAGATATGTTTTCTTTTTCAAAAAAAATCATTTCCCCATTATTATTAATGCTGAGGAACTACTAGATTGGTAAATGCTCTTATCTTCCACAATGGAAATAGCAATTTTATAGGAAAAACCTACAGCCACAAGAAAATACTTTTAGCCATCACTGCAATGGGGGCTGAAGTTGCAGGGGTGAGTTTCTGCTTTTTTAACTCTCCAAAACAAGGTGATTTCTTGTTCATCTGTGCAAATTTCTAGTCCTTCTATCACTTAAGACAAAGAGCTTGCATTAACAAGAAAGAAAACAGCCTTAGACTTATCCTAAAGTATTTCAATTTCCTACATTATTTTTCTTAAAATGTGCACAACTTCACACGAGAATTACTGGGTCTCCAGTGTCTACTGATAAATGTTTCAATGCACAAAACCAAAGCCTTGAGAAAGGAAAAGACCTTGGAAAAAAGAAAAACATAGCTTCAAATATGGTATAAGCATTAACAACAGAAGTAGTTACAATGCTGATTCTTTAATACAAAAGTTTGGCACTAATTTACATAACTTCAATTAAATTACAATTCAGTAATGACATCCATAATCTTACAGGTATGAATCCTGAATTTGAAGTATATAAACTACACTTGATAGAATGGCTGACTGATTGTCCAGTTCCTGTACTAATCTCTTAATGTGGATAGGTTGTTGCACAGACACTGGCATCTGTTCTTCCCCTCAGAGTAGCTGTGGCTGAACTATGAAGGAGAGATAAAATTAGGCCATGCAAACATTTCTACAGAGTTTAGAATTTCATGTTCTTGCTTTAAAGCAGCCTTGAGCACGACTCAGAGTTTACCCCCTCTCAAAGACTGTTGTGTCTTCTGATATTCTAAGACTTTTCTAAGAAGCATCTTAAGGACAAAAAACTCCTATGAAGTCTAGCACAAGGAAAACCACTGCAAAATAATGAAGCACAGAAGCAAGAGTTCCTGAGATAGAACCACTGGCAATGCTTATAAAAC